ACTATGCATTTACTAGAATTTTAGCGTGAACAAGCACAGGCTTTACCTTAACAGCGTCCGCAGTGGTAAGCGCGCAGCATCCAAACGCGGCTTGATTCAAAATGTTCAAGGTCATTTGATCGATCCCCATTCTAAAAGTCATTGAAAAATCCCAACTTGAGACCACTGTCGCTCAAAAATTGATTCACTTATTAGCTCGCGAGTCTTCTAAAATTTTCCATCAAAGTACACACTTCTTCTTCCTGTTCTCCAGATAGACGACGATTACTTATATACAGCCCCCGCTGACCCACATGGAAGTCATGGTTGTGCCTCAGACAACGTTTNTCAATATTCTGCAGTTTAAAATGGGTTAATTACATTAGAAATGAGAGGCATAATCACCTGGTTCCAGTTGCGCCGCGCCTCCTGTGATGTACACAGCAATATTTGATGAAATAATACGGCAGAATCAGTTTCCGACCAAACTTTCTTTCCCGTATCAGTTGTTCGGCTGTCATTGACGCATAAACGTAGAAGGAAGTGCAGGTAACTCTTTGGAATTCACGGAAGTCCTCCAAGAATCCGTCCAACGATCCATAGGAATTTTTTACCATTCGTTCAAAAACAACCGTATCGTCAACATGAGCCATGGTTGACATGAGCGTGGAAGTGATCGTCGCCATTAGGTTGCGGTATTTATACTTCACGGACAACGTCAATCAAGGTTAATTAAAAAAATCAAATTTTAACAAATCACTCAGAATCAGCTAAAAGCAAAACTCCGTTCCATTTCGGTAGAATTCAACATCACTTTTTCTAAAATACATTTAAAAATCGATCGTTTTTAGAACTCCTAATAGTTGGGATGCCACGCCACTACCGTTCGCAGTTTTCCTCTGAATATTCTATCTGCTCACCTTTTGGTCTCTTTTAAAAACTGCGATTTTGTTTTAATGATTGATCTGGGGCTCAAACAGTTTGGCATGAGCACCAGCATAAGGTCCTCCATGGGGAAATGCAAGTCAGTCACAGGAACCCAGGAGTATCTTTGTGGGAAGGAAAGCTACACCACAGAGGTTTCTGACCAAGGAATAGGCTGTGACGCCTGCAGCACTTGGTATCACCCGAAATGCAGTGGATTAACGAGCGGCAGCTTCCAACTTTACGGCCAACACAAACGCCTGAAGTGGGTGTGTCCAGTCTGCACAACTAGTGAAAGCAGAGAGGCAAGCAGCCAGGCCTAAACTAAAGTCCAGAAGGAAGGAGTGCATGGCCCCTGTTCCACCCCCGGTCGACTTAGAGGGAAGGCCAGTGTCTGGAAACGCAAGTAAAAAGCCGAAAAAGCAGAAAGTGAAGGGCGAAAATGAAAGGGGGGCACCCTAAAGCATGATATCCAAGGTTGAAATCACGGCCACCCTTGCGAACCTAGTCAGACGGATAGACGGGCATGAGGAGAACCTAAATCGCCTCAGGAAAGAGAAAATATGCTGGATGAGGTGGTTGAGAGGATACGGAAGAACACCGATGTAGCTATAGATAGACATCACAACTTACTCATCCACGGTGCACCAGAGCCTTTCATGCGGCAAGGTAGACTGAGGGACCGATATATGCGGGATTACTTGGCCACGTTGATAAGATCGGAAACCCTAGGCATATGGACAGGCTTTTAGCAGAAGCCGAAAACCTCCGGACATTCGCGGGTGGCAATGTTAGAGTGACACTCGATGATCAGTCTGATAGGAGATTGAAAGCAGAGAGCGTCGCGTGGATGGCACAAGCGCATCAAGCAAGAGTGGTTCTGCCCAAACTCTCTGGTGAGAACAGGTACCCGGGGGCCCTGCAACTCCCAATAAGGGCTGGGGAAAGGTAAGCCCAAAACCATCTTACAGGGAGGTTTTGCTGAGACCACCCAAGGAAAAGGGAGTCGACAGACCAAAACAGGGTAGAAATCCTGATTCATTTGAGGGAACGAACAAAAATGCTTGAAACCAAGAAAAACAGGCCCAAAAAACGGGGTGCAAGCTCGGGAGTGAATCCCGAGGAGCCACCCTCCCCAGTGGAAAGCCGAACACTAGAGGAGGAGTCCCACTGCATATTGCATATACAAACGCGTGTAGCGTGGGAAACAAATGGCCTGAGCTTAGAGTGGAGACAGGGAAGTGTGATGTTGTGGCTATCACGGAAACCTAGCTCCGGCCAGGAATAGACATCAAGCACCACTGCCCACCAGCCCTCTGCGATTATCGCACCGATAGGACTGACGGCAGGACAGGTGGGGGACCCTCATACTAGTGGCACAGCACCTAAACCAGAGTCAGAGGGGTAACTTACGATGTCAACGCAGAACGTCCATGTTTCTGGCTGTATGGTGAGAGTCGGGCACACCAGACTGCTGATAGTTTGAGTCTACAGAAGCCCATCATCCATGGCCAACAAGGATGATGCGCTGCTACTCACGCTGCGAACGGCCGCTCGGCACAATGGGAAACTACTGATCCTCGGGGATTTCAACACGCCAAAGATAAACTGGAGTGAAGAAAGTGCACAACCTGGGTCCTTCGGCTCTGCGGTACTGAACCTGCTGCACGATGAAGCCCTCGTGCAACACGTCAGCGGAGACACGCGGTGGCGCGATGGTAGTAGACCCACCAGATGGGATGTGGTACTCACGAAGGGGGCAAACGACATAAGGAATAGTCAAGTAATGACCCCATTGAGTAAAAGCGACCATGCTCTGCTTCACATTACCATGTCTCTCCGAGGGTCGACCGCGCCCGATAAGGAGAGGACAAACTATGGTGGAATGAACCAAGCGCAGCTCCTAAGTGGTGCAAATGTCATAACATGGGAAATGGAACCCAGTGAGCCACAAGAGGAGAGTTGGAATCTAGTGAAGTCCAATTTATTTTAGCTTGCGAATACCTATGCACCGCTGAGAAGCAGTAGAAGAAACGGAAAGGCTCCGTGGTGGAAAGCGCGAGTGCTTAAGGCCCAGGTTTGTAAACAGCGAGCGTGGGTCAGACTGGTAGCCTCAGGCAGCCACCGCCGATTCCTTGAATATGACCCAATGCGCAAGCGCGCAATGGCGGTCCAGCGGGTATGCAGGGTTACTTATGAAAAAAGCTGATGGAAACGCGAAAATCAACCCTAAAGCCTACTCTAATTGTGTCCAGTCCAAGGCCACAATTAGAGGGGCGGTCGGGAACGTCGAAAACGAGGACGGAGTTAGGGTCGAATCGAATGCTGAAAAGGCGGACATTTTCCGCCGATATTTCGAAAGGGTTCACCAACCGGATAGAGGAGGAAACCCCCAAACCCTCTTAGAGTGGGAAATACCCACGACGGCCGAAGTCGTCGTCACTGAAGACGAAGTAAGGGCCCAACTGCAAGCGCTGAAGAGCACCAAAGAAGCGGGACCCGATGACATCCATCCGGCCCTCCTGAAACCACTAGCTGGAGCTTGCAGCACCGCTAGAAAAGTTGTTTAACAAGTCCCTTCAGGAAGGGCAGCTGCCGGGGGAATAGAAGGTGGCGAAGGTTGTCCCCATATACAAGGGAGGGGACAGAAACCAGGCAGCCAACTATCGGCCGGTTAGCTTAACCTCAGTATCACTAAAGATACTATAAAGGCTATTGAGGGACAAGGTGGTGGCTCATGTTGAGCGCCACCATCTGCTAACAGCTAGCCAGCACGGTTTTGTGAGGAGGATACCATGTCTCACGAACCTACTGATGTTCTTAGATGATAACACTAACAGGCTGGATAGAAGAGAAGGGGTAGAGGTCTGCTACTTGGGCTTCTAAAAGGCCTTCGATTCGGTAAATCACAGGCCACTGCTCCTGAAATTTAGGACCTTCAAAATCCACCCGAAACTGATTGCATGGATCGAAGATTTCCTGAGAGGAAGATCTTTCCATGTGAATATAGAAGGATCCAAATCGAGGGAAGGCAGGATAGCAAGTGGAGTTCCACAGGGGTCAGTTTTAGGCCCTCTCCTATTCCTAGCCTATGTAAAAGACTTACCAGAGAGGTTGGAGAACCCAATTTACATGTTCGCTGATGACTTTAAACTGGTAGGTTCCCCCTCAAACCAGTCCATGCATAGGGATTTGGATACCGTCATACGCTGGGCTGAAGACTGGGAGCTACCGCTCAACGTGGCCAAGTGTAAACAGCTCATACCAACTGAAGGCATAGACTCGGTGCGGTGGATTAACACTGAGAACCCAGTGGAACTCCAAAGGAGTGAAGAAATGAGGGACCTGGTAATTCAGGTTACCAGTAGTTTCAAATTAGAGAAACAGTGCCTATAGGTGGCACGTAAGGTAAATAACGCCCTGTACCAACTGCTGTCTCGCGGGATCCAGAGCTGTTGATACACCTATATAAAGTGTGTGAGACAACAATGGAATACTGCATCCAAGCGTGATCGCCATACCTGGAACGGGACAAGAAGGTCCTAGAGGCGGTGCAGCTTAGGTTCATGAGATGCTTCTCTCATCTCAGGGGGCAGGACTACCCAACTCGTTTGTCTATGTTGAACCTTTTCTCCCTGAAGAGGAGACGCCTTAGGGGTGACGTGATTGAAGCCTTTAAGAGCATAAAAAGCCTTACTGATACGGGTGCTCCACTATTCACTGCCAATGACAACGTGGAATCACGTGGATACTCTTTGAAATTGGCGAGAGGGCGTTCCAGACTGGAAGTTCGAGCACAGTTTCTAACAAACTGTGTGGTGAACAGCTGTAACAAACTCCCAGAAGCAGTGATCACAACAACGAATGTGATAAGCTTCAAGCATAAACTGGCTGTCTGCTGGCTGACTATATTCCCTGATTTGGAGTGATCAGTGCAAGGTAAACCACAGACCATCCGGAGAGTCCCTAGGTGAAAGTTAGTCTTATATCTTGTTGAGTTTTCCCTTTCCCTATCATCCTTCTAGTCCGTGACAAATAACTTTTCTTTTCTCTCCTTTATAAAATAAAAATCTAACGTTCTCCTAGTCTTGATTTACACCTTATACTTACCCGCTGGTAGAGCATGTCTGGTTTGAATTTCTCGCATATAAACCTGTTCGGACGATGACCCTTTGTTGACTGGAGCGTACTGACACTACCGATTGACCATTCCAAATCTCATTTGCACATCTACCCGTCATCCAGAAACACAAAATGAAGGATCAAGAACTTCTCCTGCGGTCGAAGCACAGTGGGATCGCACCAGAGCTCACAAATGCAAGAAACTGGACGCATTGGCATCAGCCGCAAGTCCTGTATATCCGACCTGATCTAAAGTGAACTGAAGTGAATCTGAACTGACGTCCTGGAACCGAACTGAACTGACCTAGTCGACAGTTGAAACAGGCTTCCAAAGGAAATCGTCGATCTCCAAACTGTGCAAGCATTTAAGACTGCATTCGAAAAGTGATGAGTGGAACTATTCCCATCACTGGCAGTGTAGACGAGTGTAGGTGTGCCAAATGTTTAGGATGCCGTTTCCCTTTTTACTGGTACACGCATGCTCGCGTTTTATAATTCACTTGTCAACTTGGTGAGATGAGATTTTATTTCCCATTCTTATTTCAGCAGAGCTGGGTGCCCACGTTGTTCTTTGGTGTTGACCTTGACTGCGGGTGCTTCGCATTTTGGAGTGGAACGTTTCACTGTAGAATTAGGCCGACAATAAGAGGATGAAACACTCGAGAGTCCCATTTCCTGTTTGAAAATTAGCGGAAGTGCAATTTGTACCGGACCTTCCGCGCTGGAGATCTGAACTCTGATTCTGGGGACCACAACTGAGCGGAACCCGGGTGGCAGGACCAACGTGACGAATTCCCGTCCAGGTGAGCGACTAGGCTACAACATTTACTGCCGACAGTACTACCAAGAGTTACTTATCCTTGATTCTACCGTTTTTGTGTAGGGTTTTCATCTTTACGCACCCCCTTTTACCGGACGTAGTCTTGAAGCGTATCTAGACGAGTGCCATGGTAGCTCGGAGAAATCCTCATAAAGGGGTTACACGAGCCAAGCAGGTTATTGCACCCTACCCGTGTAACAGAAGAGGGTGTTCTCTCGAGGTGGTTGAGGGCATTCGTTGCGATTTGTGCCAGGATTGGTTTCACAAACGGTGCAGTAAACTAACTTCCAGGGCAGTTGAACACTATGCTGTCCACAAGTTTCTGAAATGGGTTTGTCCAAACTGCATCAGCTCTATCGGAATATCCAGGGCGAAAACCCTGCCTCCGTAAGGAAACTCTCCTTTACAGTTGGAAGTACAAGCTCCTCCGTGTAACTTGACCCAAAGTAGTCAGATGAACAGAAGTAACCCCGAGCTAGGGACCCTGATGCCTGGAGAGGGAAACCAGCCTGAAGTAGTTAACCACCGGGAATGGATTTTAGTGGGGAAGCCTGAGCGTGATGAACAACAAACCACGTCAGCGGCACCCCTAAGCCGAGGGGTAAAGCCCAGCCCTAGGGCACGCGTTACCAAATCGGCAACCGCAGGGATTAGTGTGCAGGCCGCCGGAAACAGGAGGGGAACCAACAAGGCTACCCAGTGTCACTTGCCACCAGGGAAAGGGGCACTTGATGCGCGCATGGACGCTAACGAGGAGGCCATTGCGAAGCTCGCTGAAATCACCACCAGCCTGAGAGACTCCCTGCATGGGCTTGAGGCTCATAACAACACAGCCCTAGGGAGAAACAGAAACGTCATTATCAGGAACATCCTAGAGTCGTTTTGTAGAGAAACGCGCAGCCGCAGGCAAACGCTCCTACACCAAGTTAGAAACATAATCCGACTCGCTCAGATCCCCTCAGAGGTGCAGATCAAGCGAGTGTTGCACCTTGGGAAGTGGCAGGGCGATCAACGGACACCTGGCGTCTTGCCACTTAGGCCAGCCTTTGTAAAGCTTCATAACCCGAGCCATCGGGACTTGATGCTGGCAGCTTCCGCCAATTTGAGGAAGTTGACCGAAGATCAGGTAACCATAGGGCCGGACAACCCCTGCGACTACAAGACAACGGCCTCACCTAGCTCACCTAGCTGCAGGCAGCAAGTTAGCACCAAGCTTCTGTCCGTCAACGTAGCAAGAGTGGGGCACGAGAATCCACGCAGGAAAACGACCCCCGCTCATAACGAAGACCTGGCTGAAGTCTGACTTTTGTATCGCGGGCTTCTGTTCACCAGGATTTCAGGCTTATCGCTGCGATCGTCCAGGGAATAGGTTGGGGGATGGTGCTCTACTGCTCATGGCAGACCTCTTTCCTCAGATGGCCGTGGATACTCAGTGCACGGAGAACATTCAGGCTGCCGGGTGCGTAATCAAGCTCTCAGGATTAAGATTAGCAGTTCTGTGTGTTTATCGTAGCCCAAGCGCAGGCATCGACGAAAGATAGATTTTCTCCGGCACACAATAACTCGGGCAAGTAGGGTTCTTGTCTTGGGGGATTTTAATGCTCCTGAGATCGAATGGGAGATGGAGTCTGCGCCATTTGGCAGCTTTGGGGATGGGCTACTAGAGATGATGCATGAATTGGCGCTCACCCAGCACGTCACCGATCCCACCTGATGGCGACTGGGTAACTCTCCCAGCACCTTATATCTTGTGTTTACCAAAAGCAGGAATGACATCAGGATCACTGCATTGGTGCACCGCTAGGCAGAAGTGACCGCGCTAGTATCCGGTGCCAATACGGCTGTGCTCTTCCGCTTTCTCAAGTTAAATTGAGGCGACGCTATAAGCGCATGAATACCGGATGTCTCCATGCTGCGGCTCATGGCCTGGTAAGAAGCACACTATGGGACTGTGGAGTCATGGGATTTGATCGGGGATAACCTGCTGACTCTCACTAATAGTTTCGCACTCCTGCATCCCGTTAGGTCGAGGACCACCCCGCCATGGTGGT